TGGTAGATTTTACTCGGGAAAAAACCTAACGCCCAGGTTAATAAGATGGGCTTTAAAACTCCAAGAATATAATATCACAATAAAATATAAACCGGGTAAGGAAAACAATGTAGCTGACGCACTTTCTCGTATAAAACTGGACGAGGAAGGTAATGAACTTAAATGCGCTGTGTTGACTTCAAAAATTTTAGATTCTAGAGATACGGTTATTACTGAACTGAAAGCTGATCCTGAATTTGGAAATATCTATGCTTATTTGAAAGACCCCGAAGGCTTTGAGCATACAGATATCGATGCGATAAGAAATAGAGCAAAAAACTATGAAATAATAGATAATTTATTATTCTATACGAAAACAACGAACGAAAATCTTGAGTATAAGCCAGTCATCCCAGCCTCGCTTCGATTAAGCATTTTGAGGAAGTGGCACGAAAAAAAAAAAAAAGCGGGCCACCTCGGGGTCAGAAAGACTTTAAAAAGGGTACGCGAAGCGGTATATTTCCCGCAATTATACAAAATAGTAACGGCGTATGTCAGGTCCTGCAATCAATGTCAGTTAATAAATGATATTAATTTACAGCCCGGCCGGGTACTTAAATAGCATTCGCGCTACATTTCCGAATGAAATTTTGGCATAGATCCCCTTGGTCCCTTCCCCCAGAGCGAGTTAAATAAAAATCGTTTTCTTTTAGTAATAGTAGATCATTTTTCAAAATGGATAGAAATTGTTCCACTTAAACGCGCGTCAGCCAAAACAGTCGCAGATGCATTCTTACACAGATACATTTTAAAATACGGTGCACCGATAAAAGTCATTAGCGATAACGGAAAACAATTCATTAGTCAAATATTTGAAAACATATGCAATGGACTTGATATACGCCATATCAAAATGGTTCCGTATAGACCACAGGCTAACATAGCAGAAAGAGTTAATAAAAACATTGTAAAAATAATTCGCAGTTACGTTAGCACACATCACAAGCGCTGGGATGGCTACATAAATGAATTAGCTTATGCTTTAAGAACGGCGCATCATGATACTACGGGAAAAACTCCAGCAGAATTATTTTTAGGCAGAAAGTTAATTACGCCTTTAGATAAATTATTCTTTGTGCAACAAAGAGAGCAGGAATTCAACAAAAGGACGTGCAAAAACTAATTGATCAGGCGCTTAAAGCCCCGGACAATTTTATGGCAAAGCTAGCTCCAAAGTTTGAAGGCCCCTATGTAATTCAGGAAATCAAAGGAGTAGTTTTATATCTTAAAAACGAGAGAGGGGAAATCTGTAAAGCAAGTCCCGACCAGGTGAAAAAAATACTATAATCCCAATGATTTTGAAATCCTTAAAAGTTTCTTGCAGGACTCAAGTCTAAACGAAATAGAAGGGCCAGAGACTGCAACAACTATTCCACCACCAAGAAAAACGGAGAACTGAAGAGAGACCTAGCACTTCTACAACCCGGACGTCGGTATCAAAAAGAAAAAATGATTATCAAACTCCGGCGCGTTTAAGAAAAACAAAATACAGATGAACCGGGTAAAGAAACCGTGGTAAAAAGAAAAAAACACCACCTACAAAGGATGGCAGGAGGAATTACACATCAAGAAGAACGCGCACACGGCCACAGAGTCAGGTGCCAGCAAGGCCGCCGTTCCGGAAACTGAAACGCCAACAGGAAGCACAGAAGTACGAGGAACAGAAGAAATTCAAGGACTCCAGACCGGAGGACGTCAAGACCAGCCGTCCCAGGCAGAAACGCAAAAAAAGCCAACAACCAGACGATATTACTCCGTCAAGAGGCCAGCATGTAGAGGACGCAAAAAGAAAGATCAACGGGGACGACAATTGGAGATCAACAAGGAGAAGATTGACATCCATGACACCTCTAACTTGGGATCAATTTTGTCAAAAACAGATGACGGAGTTTCAAGCATCGAAAACTCAAAGATAAGTTAAAACCTTCTATAAATATTTTTCTCTTTTGTTCCGAAATGTTATGCATAAGTACGAAGTTCTATGTTTTGACGAAAGTTAATATGTCTCGGTTGAGACTTAGTTTTGTTTTACTTTGTTTAGCTAAGGCAAAAGTATTATTTTCTTTAAGTGTAAAAGCTAAAAACAAGCATTTTCTGTTGGTCGAAAGACTAATTCTGTTATGTTAAAGCCAAAATTTGGCCGGAGATAAAAATAACTTCGTATTCTTGTATGTACTAATAAGAATTTTAGTTTCAGTGCCGCCAGCTTGGCGAAGGATGAGTAAAGTAAAAATTTATTTTCGCTTATTCATTTTATGGTAAATTGTAAAAAGCATATGTATTAAACTTTTGTAAAGTATGTAAATACTTGCATGTTATGTAAAAGTAGAATTTAGTCTAGAAGCATAAAATTGTAGATGCTAAAAGTGAATGCTTAAAAGCAATGAAGTCAAAATTTAAGTATTAAACTGTAAAGTCATGCTTTAGAGCGAAAGCCTGCATGTTTTAAAAGATGAATGAGGGGGGGAAGTTAGAATGAATGTGTTTTGTAGGGTTCTCCACCTACATTTGAATTTTTAAGAATATTAAAGTAGCTCATTGAGTTGTAGAATGTCGAGTAAGGTGTGTCTATTTGGTTGTTGAATTCTAACAAATCATGGTGGTTAGGGGAAGTGTTGTAAGACTAAAACACGAATATTCCCGTTTGACACCACACACGGTGGAGAGCCAGGGTAAAGTTAAATTAATGCTTGAAAAATTGAATGAATGTGAAGTAAGCAATAACTAAGAAAAACGAAACGTTAAAAACAAAAATTTATTGTGTCAAGAAAGTGTAAATTATAATGTATGTAGAAAGATACTGATACTTATTCCTTCCAGATGCTGGAAGGAAAGACCAAGATTGATTGATGAAGTCCAGGAAAAGTTGCTGTAAGAAGAAACCTTTGTAAAGAGTAACAGAATTTTAAAATTGTTACATAAGATTATTTTTTGTTTGTAAACGAGGCTTTCGCCAGTTAGTTCAGAATTAGATAAACTTACAACAGGTCGTTTGTAGGACCTGCTTCCAAGTTTTCCAAATTCTGGCAGCGGCAAATGTAGGGTTTATATTTATTTTAACTAACATTTATTTTTAAGTTTAAACTATCTTTCCTGTCAATCCTTACTTTCCCCTGGAACTGCCAATGCCAGAATATGTAAATTTGAGTAGAACGCGCAAGCATTCAAATTATCAGCGGAAGTAGTATGATTTAAATAGAAGGAAACAAGTTCGGTGAGAGAGAGTTATTCTTACTTAGCGAGCGCGGAGGTAGTTATAGAGATTTGAAAAACCCCGCGTTGCGGCCTATGTGCTTGGCGGGAAGTAGTTGCAATTGTTCCAGTGAGCTTCAAGTCTGCTGAATTAGCAGCCGTATTGTAAAACGCGGTGAGTTAGTTATTTGAGAGAGCCTCGTAGTTAGAATATTGTCTTTAATTTCTTTTCAGGTTTTATTTTTATTTTGACTGCCGAGTTGGCACCGTTTGTAAGCGTCAAGAGAACGCAATTGTAAATTAGTACGTTGAATAAAAAGGGACTTAAACCCTTTATAAGACTCTGTGGTTTATACAAGCTTTCACAGTCACCTCTTGGTTGCGTGCTAGTTAGAGGCGCGCAACGTTATAAACCTATGTTCACACCAAATTTTAATAAAATCTGTCCAGTAGTTCTGGAGATCGTAGATCAAATATGAAAATTCTGTTACTTTCTTTCACCTTTTGTATAATTACTGTCTAATCCCTGTTTCCCTATTTAATTCCTCTTTCCTCGCGTTCGTGTTAAATTTCTCTCTTTTTTTTTTCCCTCCCCGCCTAATACAGAGTAGGATGAACCATTTCGTTTCCTAATATAAAAAAATACAGTCGTAAAGTAATTGTTTAATGGTTTTTGAAAATTATTTGGAACATTCATTTTGCTTTTCGAAATAAGGTGTCAAAATTTACAGATGAGCTTTAATGTTTGACGTCACTAATATCGGTTCTTTCCCTAGGCTAAAAATATGCTATGAAGGTTTTAAAGTAAGATTAATTAGAAGTCATTTTATTTAACTTGAAGAATTATATCATCTATTTCATGTTGTTAACAGTATTTCTTATATTGGGCACGTGTATAAGTGCCTTAATTAATCATTTAATTATGGGAAAGCAAGAGCGCCTTAGGAGAGGTAACTTCATGGAGGATTTTCGAAGAGAAACTAGATTTATTGTAGCTTTAATTACTGTGAACATGGTGGAAAACTGTAAAAATCCCAAGTAATTAACTTATTTGCCATAAATGAAATCCCAAACGAAACTGGCAGTGTAAGGAATAAAATTTTTAGCTATGCGTCTAAAATATTTAATTTTAACTCCTATCAGAATTTTCAATGTTACAGAAATTTATTCGATTTTTCTTATTAACGTTTGATTTGAGATTTTGTATGTAAGAAATGACGTAGCTTAAATGCTGTACCATTATCTAGTATCACGTGATTTCTCGCTATCATGAAGTCTTTTATGGATTTCAGTAATTCAATTATGACAAATGTTACGGAAAAAGAGGCATAGGTAATAGTTTCCGTTTCTGTATTTTCCTATAGCCTGTTACATTTATGTGTGTGTGTGATATTTTATGACCTTTCCTTGTGGAGAGAGCAGTAAATCGTCCAACTGTGCTATTTTCACACTCGCAGCTCTAAACGATTGCTACTTTCAACCGGTTTACACTGACTGCTGAACAAGCTCCATCTCTTTTATTTTTCTGTGTTTGCGATAGCGACATATTCTATTATCTCCAGCTTCTTTCTTTTCAAATTTGAACTTCATCATAATTGTTTCGAGTAATGGTATTTGCCTTTTCGCAGACGATTCTTTGCCTTGCTTGTTTGACATCGTTATTTTGGTACTTTTATTCCATCTTCTGTCAGTGGTTATTAAAACCAAATAACGTAAGGGGTTATATTGTCTCAGCTGATTGGTGTCGAGTGCGTTTACAGGGATCTCAGAAGGCTTGTGTCACAGTACTTTCTGGCATGAAATCGGAGGATTGTATTGTAACCGATGGTTGTTCGCTTCGTTTTAAGTATCATATGATTTTAATTTCTCGGTAAGTGAAATTTCTTTTCCTTTCCAGATGACCCTCATGTAGCACAGTTGTTAGGCTCGTAAAAAGTTCCGTCGCTGTGCGAATTCGTATTACAAGATATAAGGGTATTTCTCCTGCCTTCTAAGCATGTCTTCGTGGTGTAGTGGTCAGCAAACTCGGCGAGAGGTCCGTGGTTCAAGTGCCGGCGAGGGCATTGCTCATTTTTCATCTCTTCTGCTTTAAAAAAATACCTAATATTTCTACAGTCCGCCCGAACTAAAAAAGGTGGTGGATGATGATTCTCCACCACCAAGATTTGGCGATTGGGTCCCCTAATCCCCAGTCGCCCTTTAAAAGGGGGAGTATATAAGGTATTTCTCCAGCCTTCTTAGCATGCCTTCGTGGTGTAGTGGTCAGCACCTTGCGCATATGCGAGAGGTCCGTGGTTCGAGTCCCTGCGAGGGTATTGCTAATTTTTCATCTCTCCTGCTTTCAAAATGTACCTAATGTCTCTACAAAGAAAGGTAATACGAAAAAACAGGATCAGTTACCATATCGTTATGAAACAATATCATTTTCCTCTTAAAACTAAGCGATTAAAAAAATAGCAATAGTTATTCAAAGGTGTTATGTCATGTATATATAATATTAAATAATGCATATTTATTTTATTTTGCACCATTGCTAAGATAGCCAGAATGTTTTCTTTGTGGCAGGAAATTCTCGTATTTGGAGCATTTTCCAATAGCATCTTTAGTGCTGTGATTTGAGTAAAAAATATATATTTTTTGGTTTGTTTGTTTTTTTCTTAAAGACTTTGTAAAGACATTAGTATTATTTTTGATACCGGAGACGTGAAAAAATGAGCAACGCCCTCGCCGGGTCTCAGATCTCTCGAATAGGCGTCGACTGTGCTGACCACTACACCACGAAGGCATGCTAAGAAGGCGGGAGAAATACTTTATAAGTTCATAAAATTTCATATTGTTTGTGCATTTCTAAAGTTCTGTCCTAGTTTTTTCACTTATTGAAATAAAGTACTTGTAATTAGAAAATAGAATTTCAATTATTGGCCCAAATTTATGATTTCCTCTTTGCTTTTGATGGCAAAATTTTGAATTTGGTGGGCGTCAAAAAATTCTTAGGCATTTTATATTTTTCGCATAATAAAATTATTTACATGAACATGCATGTTTTCGAACTGTGTTGTTAGGAAAACCGTGTTACGTGTGCTCTGCCAGTGTGTACAAGAGAAAGAATTTTAAATGGCAACTCATATTGCAGCATTTTAGAGTACCTAGTATTCTGTCTGAGCTTCACAGTATCTCTGCTGGAGATACTGTGAAGAAGATACTGTGATACTATCTGGTCATTTTGGCACTTCAAATTTTTCATTTTGGCAATATCTGGTCAAAGACACTTCATAAAAGTTGTAAACGTTTTTACTTCCTTGTACGAAGTAAAAAGGAAGTATTGTAATCGCGAAAAGTTTCAGCCATCATATTTCAACGAAAATATCCATTTTCACCGCTTTCGAATGCAATTTAACGATGTTTTATTTTTATTATTTTTTTTTTTCCGTGACATCTGTACGTAAGGACAGAATAAAGGACTCTTCTCCCCCCCAAAAAATTATGAAACTGATTTAAAATGAATTCTGAAGAGAATTTTTCGTGATGTTCTGTGTGTACATACGTATACCTGTCTCGCATAACTCAAAAACGAATAACCTCAGAACGTTGAAATTTTGTATATAGGACTGCTATAACATGCAGACGTGCACCTCGTATTTTGGTTGCAGTCGGCCGTTACCGATCTCAGTTACTTTATTCTTATATATTTGAAAATTGTGCATTTTTTGGTTTAACAATGAATGAATTATGTTGTTCTTATCTTCCGGTTAAGATTTTTATGCCTTTAGTTAATCTACATGCAATAATTGTGGAATTATCAGCAATTTAAAAGTTTTTTAAGTGCGGCTAAGCCTAATTTCTGATTTGTATGCCGTCCATGTTTGTATTTTGTGTTAATTCTTCACATATTGAGACTTATAATTCTAAGAACGTAATTGAATGCAATTAATTGAATTTATGTATTTTCATTAAAAAAACTGGTACTTTTCCGTTTCGCCGGCGCAAATCTCGCCAAGCAGACTTTGTTGGCGACAACATACAATATACACATAAAAAATTTTAACAAATGTTAGTTCTAAGAATTTTTTATTTTGAAGGCATAAACATTTTAATATGGTTCAAAATTTTGTAAAAAGCCAATAAATAAAGACAATAAATTTGTAAAAAGACATTAATTTAAGAATTTACTATGCTATCATGGTTCAACATCCTGATTCGCCGGTTCGTATCACGTGACCCCAAGTGATCTCATCTGACGTAAACTACGCTACAAAAATATAATTCTCTCAGTAATTATCTACATTAGTTTTAAGTTATATCTTAATTTGGAATACAAGTTTAAATGCAAGAATTATTTCGATTCGTATGAATAGCTTACTCAGAAATTAAGTAAAACCGCAGTGTTTTACTTCGCTAGTGCATTCTCATTATAATGGATGAATTTAAGCCTTGATTTGTTGCCTTTTCTATATTTTCGCCTTCGAGTGAGCGGTGTGATCGCATCCTAATATACTTAATTACCGCGATGAGCTTAGAGCATAATATTTAATTATATTTGTAAATATTCTATGCAATTGTATGCCAGTATTGAAAGAAACAATCAATCTGGTAAGAAATGGCTGCGACTTGTTTTGAAAATGAAGCGTAAAAATTGAGGCGAAGATATTCCGTTTGGCATCAGTTGTACCATTATTGGCGACTTTAATCGTTTGCGCCGGTAAAACGGAAAAGTACCAAAAACCTTACCAGAATAGTGGATTTGTTGCCAATCTAGAGAAACTAAGCTTTCTCAAAACAAAGTAAAAGTCTTCTTTTATTATTGCGAATTAAATTATGCTTAATTCATTATGCAATTAACATTTAAGTTATTAGCTTATTTTTATATATAGAAACTGTAATTGTAAAAATTGTTTTTTTAATTGTTTTAACTGTATTTGGTGTTTTATATTTTTCTATAGTTGTAAAATTTTAATGAAAATATTTTGAATTTTATGTATTTTTGCCTTGCAGCGAAGTGAGAATTCAATTAATTAGTAGCACATGCGCATTAGCTAAGCGGCGCTGAATCGTCTGCGAAAAAAATTTTTTTATTTGTTTAATTTCTTTTATATATCGTTTTATATATTATTATATTATAGTATTTGAATATAACTTATGATAATTCTTCAGATGATATAATTTTTGTGCATTTTGAGTTTTAAAATGAATGCTAATGCTGTTAAGTGAACGTAGCGCCAAAGTGTCGCTATGGTAAATAAACATAGTAACTTTAAAAGAGTGCATTTATTCTAGTGCATTTATTCTTTAAAAGAGTGCATTTATTCTAGTGTGGTCTAAGCGCTATCGACGTAGTAGATTTAATTCAAAATTCGTTAACTGTTAATTCAGTATGTTTAAATGAAATGTAGGAAAATTGCTTATAATGTAATATTCCATACAAGGAAGTCGTGGTGTACACATCAGATTTTTTTATTCTAAGAGAAGGCCGAAGCAGACGTGGAAAAATGGTGCATATCTTCTTATGCGAGTATAGTTTGAAAAGGTCAGAAAACTGATGCATTAGGTAGATTACAACATTATAGAAGGAGTGTTGTTTGAAAGCATTGCTTTCGACATTCTCGGATCATTATCTCCAACAATTAAAGGCATAAACGAAATCCTAATTTGCTCGGGCTACTTTGGTAAGTGGCTGGAAGCGTTTGCTGTTCCTTAACAAGAAGCTTCCTTTTCCATTCTCATTCCGATTAAGGAAAAAAAAAGAAAACTTACATCTGCTATGTTTAATAGAGTTGATATGAAAAAGACCCAGACTGCTCTTTTATATCAACAGTCGGGCGGCATGGTAGAAAGATTTAACTGCACATAGGACTCTCTGTCTGCTAATATCCCGAAATCAAAACTGGGATAAAAACTGTATCTATTCCCAACTAGTGTATGGGAAATCTGTTCATGACTGCACGACATTTCTGCCATTATAAAAGATTTTTGGCCATGATTTCATCAGCCATGTGACATGCCTTTCTAATGACAGTCGGACACATTTTCTTCATTTTAGCATTACGTAGAATATTTGCAGGCGCGTTTAGAAGACTTTCGTCGGTTCGTCAGAAGAAAGATCGGCACAATGATTGAGATGCGATATGATGCATAAAAACTTCTTCGGTGTATGAACCCCTAACGGCCTATGCAAATTGATCAGCGTGTAGGAAAACCATAAATGGCGTTGGAACGACACACATATGACGAAAATCACTGTCGTAAAACATTTTCAAAGAGCATTGTAAAGGATCAATGACAACACAAGGTAGGAGAGGGGGAGAAAAACTTTTATTATTGGAATAACAAGTTTCAACGAGGCCACATACCTGTCACTACACATACCTGTGAGACACTATTTCTTGTAAATGAACACAGCTTCCTCTCCTTTTGACTACACTCATGGACACAACCGTAATTTTTAGGATATTTTCTACTTCTTATCCGTTTCTTTCTATAGGCCCTCCCTTTTTTCTCTCCTCTTCTGTTATTTTTGTGGCCATTTATTTAAAATTTTATTTTGTCCCATCTTTTCTTCCTGGCCTTTCGAACTCGTTAAAAATGTACGAAGTTCTTTTTTACTCTTCTCTGAAATATGAAAATGTTCCTCTTTCTATATACTTTTTCTTCGCACCTAAGCTTGACTTTTCGCCCATCAGTGCAGAAAGACTTGGCGGATGCAAAACAAGACATCTGTCTACTTTATCTCATCATGATTTCAAGAGCATACCTTCAAATAATATATGAAATTTCATTTCGATTGGTTTAGCGGGTAGGTCACTGGAAGTTCATATATCAGGGAAGTTTTGTTATGACCGCCCTGTATTTGCTTTCAGTCACATGTGCAGTATT